CGATTCTCTAGCTTTTACAAGTTTTGCGTTAGGGGCTACTATACCCACTAGGATGCAACACTCCTGAAAATGATGTTCAGACTTACACGATCTGAAGGGCGCAGTTGGGAGTGTTGAGGATTTTGAGATGCTTGACGTTGGCTCTGGCAATGTGGCTCTCGAAGAATCGGCAAGGACATCGGTAGCTCAGGCTGACCGGTTTCCCTAGAAGAGGTAGTGAAAACAGGGCAGTTTGTTACGATCCTGCTGGACCTTGGGGATACATGTGTGTATGGGTCCACGGCTGAGGGTTAAGGTGGTGGAATGATGTTTAGGATCAAGAGCCATGGGACGAGTCACAGGGGCATCCTTGCTAAGAGCTCTTGGGCAGCACAGTGAGCTCTGGGGGTAGGCCCAGCTTCCACAGGGCCCGAGAGCAAATGGAGCCATAGAGAGCTGGACCCTAGGAGACTAGGGAATTAAAAGAAACAGCCCCTTGCTCAGGCATTTGAAGATAAAATATATTAATCCCAGGAGAGAATTGTTTCAGTCCAAGGTACTGGGGTTCCCAGTTAATCTCTGCAAAATAAACTCCTCCAGGGCCAACTAAGAAAGCCCTCTTTACTCAGGGAAGGAGGAGGGGGAAGCAGGAGCCTCCAGGCTCTCCCTTGTCCCAGGAGCCACTGTAGTTCCCCAGGGGAATGCTGCCCCCTTCCCCCTTCCCCCTCCTGCAATCTTCTCCCCTCACATTCACCTTAAACCCCGGCAACCACAAAAGAATCCTGGCAGGCTTCCTACCTGGGAGTCCCTGGAGGGCAGGCCAAGGGCCCACCTTCTCCCCAGCACTCCCCTGAAGGCAGGGAGATTATCAGGGCTGGAGTCCAATGTGGCTTTCATTGTGCAGAGATGCTAGAGCCTCCTGGGTTATATTACCTCTTTGTTTGCCAATTCACCAATTTGCAAAATGCCATAATTGACACTCATTAGTTTAAATAAGCAAAGGGCTCCTGCGGAACCCACCACTCATCCTCTAAGTCTAGACTTGCAAGCCTTGGGGGGCTGGGATCTTTGTGGGTTTTTTTTTTTTTCTTTTGGGCAGATTTTATCCAAGTCCTTCTTAATACCCCAAATTATTTGAATTTGTGGATCCTTTCATCAGGGATTAAATGTATGTCTGAGAATATTTAGTCCAGAGATTTACAAAAAAAAAAAAAAAAAAAGTCTGCCTGTTTACAGAGCTCCCAGAGGCCTCCTGCTGGTCCTGAAGTTCTGCACTTTGGGGCAAGAGAGCTGCGGAAGCTGCAGGAAACCTTGTGAGTAAGGGACTTCTTCATTTTCCTAAAGGCTGCATTCAGTTGAGAGATGGCAGGGTCTGCAAACAGCAGCCTATTTAGCCACCAAGTCAGGGAAAAAGCAGACCACCCGGCCCCCTAGGATCAAACATGGTTCCCTAAAAACCGGTAAGGAGAAAGCTTGGCTTCAGGGTGCTCAGACTCAGGGTACTGGAGAGCACCCGGGGCAGCCTTCGCTGTATACCTGACTCCAGAAAGTCTCCCCTGGGCTGGCCTTCAGCCAGGGCACCCAGTCCCTGCAGGGGAAGCTCCTATTGCCCTGCCCTTACCGTCCCGTAACCAGATCGCCTGGGAAAGGGACCCCAAGGCTGGGGGCTGGGGGCTGTGGTCAGGGTAAAGGAAAAGCCAAAGCCGAAAGTCTCCCCTCTGAGTGTCCCGCCTCCAGTCTCCCTGGAATTCTCCTGGGTTCCCCCTGAGCTGAGCAGGGACTGGATAACTGGGCTTGGGCGGTGACACAGGAAGGGTCTCAGCAAGCTGAAAGGTACACAGGGTGAGTGCTTCAGCCGGTGGGGGCTGCTGCTCTCTGGGGTTGGGGGTGGGGGTCGGGAAGCTAGTCTGGCTCCGCTAAGCGAGTAGTGGAGATCAGGCGAGAAATCAGAGCTGATTCTGAGCTCAAAACACAGGCTTTCTTTTCTCTTCTTTTCCCCCTCTACCCCCTGGGATTATCCATTTCCTTCAAAGGCAATTCTTATTCCTGCTCCCAGGACCCACTTGCCTGACTGTCAAGTGGGGACTTTCAACAGGTTTTTTAAAGTGACAGAGCACCAAGGGCTCTTACCAAGAGGACGCATTGCTGTGTCCACCTGTGTCCTCTCCTCCAGCTTTTTGTCAATATTACTAACTTTCCCAGCTGGTTTGGAGGTGACTCTGATTGGCCTGGATGTTACCGGATTGGGAGCTGGTGAACTTGGCTCTGTTCAAGAGCAGTTCCAAGAGAACCTTCCACTCTAATGCAGGAACAGGAGCCCTGGCCAGCCTCTCCAACCTGGCCTCAGAATGGAGCCCACCCTGGATTTAAGCCCTGAAAGCCAAGCCCAGGGCATCCAGGGGCCCCACTGCTTGGCTGAGGTCAGCCAGTGGAGGGAGGGCGGAAGCCTGACCCTGACCCTGAACAAGGGTGTCTCCAAGGGCAGCTCAGCAACTCAGTATGGGCACACAGGCTCCAGAAGGTCAAAAAGTACATTCCAGCCTATGAATGCAAGGAGAAGCAGACCGGCCTCGAGCCCAGGACCCTGTCCTGGCCACTTGGCTACCAAGAGGGCAACTCAAAGAGGCAAGCAACCAACCCTTCCCAGGGTCAGGATGAGTCTGTTAATGAGACCGTTACTCCCTCTGTGCTCCTTCCTGGTCAACTATGCCTAGGACTCAATGACCTGGGTGGGTCCCGGCATTCCCATACTTTCTGCAGCTGCCCCGGGAAGGGGGGGCAGCACCATTTCCCTAGAGAGGTGCACGATGACCACTCCACTCTCACCAGACACTCAATTGTTAATGCTCAAACCAGAGTGTCTCCCATGACCCAGGGGGTCAGCGTGGAGACTCAGCTTCACATACTTTTTCGGCTAGGCGGTAAAATCCAAATTGCCTTCGGGCGCCTGGGTGGCTCAGTTGGTTAAGCGACTGCCTTCGGCTCGGGTCATGATCCTGGAGTCCCGGGATTGAGTCCCGCATCGGGCTCCCTGCTCAGAGGGGAGTCTGCTTCTCCCTCTGACCCTCTTTCCTCTCGTGCTATCTATCATTCTTTCTCTCTCAAATAAATAAATAAAATCTTTAAAAAAAAAAAAATCCAAATTGCCTTCCATCCAGTCCCTCTGCAGCTCTGCCCAGCAACTTGCTACATCCCCCCCCCCCCCCCCCCCCCCCGCCAACACACACTTCGGTTTCCAACTCACAACCCTGAGATCAAGACCTGAGACGCTCAACCAAGAAGCCACCCAGGTGCCCTTAACTTGCTACACTTTTAAAAAACACTCCCCAGGCGTCAGTGGTGAGTGGTAGTCCCGGCCCTGCTGCCTGGCCCAGACACATGCATGGTCACCTTACCCACACTGGCTTCCAGTCCACCGCCTGCCAGAGGAGGGTCGGCGGCTGGAAGCCAGCCTAGGGCTGCGGGGACTCAGGCCCTGCCTGGGCCGTGGCTGCCCCAAGAGCACTCCGAGTGTCCTTCAGCCCTTTGCAGGGTTTGTTGGCACCTTCTCAGCCAAAAAAGGCCAGCGTGGCCTGGCGAACATGGCTTGTTTTGTGTGTTTAAAGACAACAGTTTATTTTGGTTTGCAGCAGTGGTGTCCTGTGACAGGACAGCGAGGTTTCTCTCAAGCTTCAAAAGAAAAAAAAAGCGCTCTCCCTCTCGCAGTGAAACAGGACACCACCTCTCCCAGTGGCCTAAGGCCTTGGCGATTAAACTCTGTGGCAGCGCTCCTTCTGAGGTAAGAGCGATGGCTTGGCCGGTGACAAAGGCGCCAGCCTGCAGGTGTGTTTGGGGGACACGGGAGGGCCATGAGCGACCCTGGCGGCCCCTGGGTCTCTCTTCGGTGGCCCCGGGAAGAGGCCAGGAAGGAGGCTGGACGCGCGCCCGGGTTTGCCGCGGCGCTGCGGCCCGCGGAGCTGTGCAGAAGCGCGGCCGGGCGGGGGGCGCAGACCCGACAGCTGCTCGGTTTGGCTCGCCCGCGAAGCCTCGCTAGAGTGGGTACGGAGAGAGGGCCAGCCTCGCCTGGAGGGGACGCCGCGCAGCAGCACCCGACCGCGCCGCCGCCACCCGCGCGTCGCGATGCGAGACAGGCTTTGGCGAAGCGCTCCCTCGCACACGTATCTCCGGCACCCGGCGCAGCGGGGCCTCGGAGTCAGTTCGCGCGGAGAAACCGAGCCCCGCGCTGGGGGGCACGGGCTGGGGTAGGGTGGGCGCGCCACCCCCCGGGGCCCGCGGCTCCCGACTCCGCTCTACTCCCCGGAGTTCCTGGAGCGCTCCTGGCCAGGGATCCTGCCCGACCCTGTGCCGCCTGCCGCTCGAGTCTGGCGGTCGCCCACCGTCCCGGACCCGAGCCCAGCTGCGGAGTGCGAAGCTTCAGCGCGGGTGGTGGCTGCTACGCTTGGGGCTTCGAGCGCCGCGCCCCGCGAAGGGGGCTGCCTCGACCTCCCCTGTGCAAAGCGGCGCGAACTGGGTTCGCTCGGGACAGCGCTGGCAGAGGAGCCGCGGCCCCGCACGGAGCCCGGCGCCCACGCCCCCGCAGCCGAGCGCACTCACCGTCGCTGAGGCACAGCGCAACCAGCACGATGGCCAGCACGACGACGACCTTGGCATTCATGGCACCGGCGGGCGGCTGGCGGACTCAGGAGGGACGCGGAGCCAACGCGGCGACGGAGAGTGAAAGTGCGGCGGCGGGAGGCGCGCGCCGGGCACTTTAGAGGCGAGAGCGGGGCGGGGCGGGGCGGGGCACGCGGCGAGAGGCGGGCCTGGAGCGGCAGCCCGGCGGCGGCGGGGGGCTCCGGCGCGCGTCCCCCTCCCACATGGCCGCCCCTCCTGTCCCCTCCCCGCCCCCTCCGCGCCCGGGGTGCTCCGGGGGCTGCGGTGCGCTCCGGCCTCTGACCTTCTCCGGTTCCGCGGGGCCCTGCTCCGGTCAGGCTTGACTTGCGGCGAGGGAACCCAGCCGCGCGGTGAGCCTGGGCTAAAGGCTAGTTATCGTGCCCACTTAGCAGGTGGACAGATGGAGTCCAGAGGCGGGACCTGAATGAGGACCAATGATAAACAAGTCGATGTGTGCCGGCGAGGCCCGAGGTAGCTAAGAGCGTCCCGTTTCTGGAGTCTAGAACCTGGAGGTGGCCACCGGCCCCGGGCTCGCTGCGCTGTGGCCCCGCAAGCTCCCCCTAAGGGAAGGAGACCAGTCTTTGCAGAACGAGCGAATGGCATCCCAAGCCAACGCTATCACTTAGTAGCCAAGCCTGTTTTCTCACCTGTAAAACTGAGACTCTAAAATAGAGTGCTGTGTCGCCGAGAGGAAACAAAATCAGTCCGCTCTGCGGCTCTGTGAATTTAACCTGAATTCTAAGAAAGCGTGAATGTACTTGGCTCTCTGTGCCTCTGTGCTCTCAACTGTGAAATGGGCTGACCGCAGTTCCCACCGGCCGAGTGTAACTGGGGGAAATGATTGAGACTCCTTTCTCCGCCATGAAGTGCTCACCGTTGAGTCCGGCATATAGTACTTAATAAATGGAAGCTAGAATAATTGTTTAAACTTCATCATTTTCTCACTCTCCCACTGAATGCCCTGCGCGACCCAAAGTGTTGAGAGAACTCCCCCTCTTCCCCTCTCCCTTCTGCCCCAGGACAGTACTCCCGGCATCGGCCTTTCTGGTCCACAAAACGAGTCATCCCTGGGTGGTGTCTGAAATCTTGGCAGGCCGTGCCCCAACCTGGACACCCAGAGACGGCCCCAGCCTAGCAGGGAGGGGTGCAGGCAGGCGGCCCAGGAGGCGCAGGGATGAGAGGAGCACGCTTTGGGGCCTCACTAGTGACCACAGGATGCTCCAGCCATCTCCTCTTGCCCTTACTGGCATAACCAGAGAGTGGAGTGAATTCTATACCAGGCCCCATCCAAGGAGCGCGCGGTGGGGACAGGTCTCTGTACCTGGGAAGTCCGGCAGTCCGGACCATAGGGGGAATGGGCGGGGCCCTCGGGGCCTGGGCTCAGCAGCTCCAGCCGGGGGCCATAGGAGGGGGCGGTCAACAGAAAGCTGCAAGAGCTCTGGGACTCAGGTCGTGAGGATGGGTGTCTTTTGTGTCTTTTTTTTCCAAAACTACTTTCACGCCCATTTACATGCCTTGTGAACTTCATCTATTCATTCATTCACTCCAGGCCGAGCTCACTTCTGGGCACTGGGCGTAAAGCCGGGAAATGCGCTGGCTTGGTCCCTGCCATTAAAGAAGTAACAATCCAGTGGGGACTACAGTCCTCGGTCATTCCTCAGGCCCCACCTCTTTTCGGGAGAGCGTGGTGGGTAATCGCGGAACTAGCGAGCCTTGGTCTGCCACAGACGAGAAAGAGCTCGCCGACTGAGCTCGGGCGCCCTCTGGTGGCAAAATCTCCCCCCCATCCGCCCCCGGGGTCTGGGTGGACCAAGGCTCAGGCCCTCCCCTGATTCCCCCGCCGCCTGGTAAAGCTGCGGTGCTCCGCGGTAAACCAAGAAGCCGGGAGTTGGTGAGACTTGCAGCTGGAACCCAGACCCCGGCGGGAGCTGCGTGAAGCCTCTCCTGCAAATCCTGCTAAAGCAAATGCCAGTCTCTCACTTGCTTCTTCTCGGCTTCAGATCGGGTTTTGTCCCCGCAGCTGAGGGAGTCCTTTTGTCCCGCGTGGGCTGGGGCAAAGGAGAACTGAGGCCTCCTGCCTGGCTGGGCCCTGCCACCCCAGGATAGATATTAGTGTGGGACACATCAGAGCCCCCTGCTTCTTCCATTCATTTATTAAAATACTTATTGAGCACCCACTATGTGCCAGACACTGGAGAATTGTTTGAAGTACTTTAGTAAAGGAAGCAAAAAAAGAAAAAGAAAACCCCAAACCTCCTGTTCTGGAGTTTACATGGGGGGGCAGGGAGAAAGAGGGGGATGGAAAATGGCAGAAAACGTAATTAAACACATAATCTATAGAAGGTTCTTAGGTGCTATGGGAAAATGGAGCAGAGGGAAGGGGAATGCATTAAGATTTTAAACAGGGATGCCAGGAATCTGCATTTTAGGTAAAATCTCCACAGTTTTTCAGTTGGCAAGCCATCTGATTTTAAAACGGTACTGGCCAACACTCTTGGGGGCCATGGGCTACTAGACTGTGCCTTTTAGCCTGAGCTCTGTGTTCAGCCATAGGGGTGCCTCCCAAATTCTGGGTAGCAGAGCCCACCACACTTTCTCCTCTGTCCTCTGCTTGTGCCACGGTCTCTACTTAAAAGGCTCCACCTTTCTTTCTCTGCCAGGAAACTCGGTTCCCCATCAAGGCCCAAAGCAAGGTCCCCCTCCCTGTGAGATCTTCCAGGGCTCTCTTTGCTCAGCACTCTGAGTTGCTCCTCTTCAGAAATACCACAGTCATGCAGGGTTCAAGGTGGGAGGCAGGCAGGGGTCTGGCGGTTGAGGTGTGTCTCTAGACCCCAGGTGCCCAGTTCAGGTGCCTGCCTGTGGCCCTCTGCCCCTCGGCCTGGGTTGCTCATTCCTTCAGAGTTCAATGGTTGGCCTTTCGGGGAAGGACCTCAGTACAAGGTTGAAGGTTTGCACCGAATCATTGTTTTCCAGTGTGTAACCAACAAGTTGACTTCAGGTGGTATTCTGAAAACATTACTTGTGAGAAATACAGATTTATATATTTGTTTTTAAAAGTAATAAGAAAAAAAGTATAACTCGTACATGAAAGCAGACATTTCAGATATGGCTCAGGATAGATTTCATTTTTCTAAATATATGATTTAAAAAGCAAGTAGATTTAAACTAATAGCATGTAAGAGTGTAGGTGGTTGGAGATGCAGCAAAAATCCACACGGTGATACAAAAAGATCTGAAGTTTGAAAATGCTGCCTAAATAAAGAACATTTTTTTGGTATCATTTGATACCACCCACCCCCTTTATAGACAAACCATTTGGTCCCAGTGTGGTAAAACAAAGTCACACAAAGGAGGTATGGCCTTTTTCTCACCCTTGCCATGCAAGAGAGGCCAGAGAATGCTCACCCAGGAGCGCTCATGTCCTAGTTGGGGTGTGGGGACATTGGAGATCCCGCCCCCTGCCCCCTTGCCCTGGGCACCCATGGCTCTCCCATCCCAACCATGACTCTTCTTTCTCCTCCTTTTGGTGCAGGCGTGGAGCGGCACAGCCAGGAGATGGCTGTCTATGCTGCACCCCCCCACACACACACCTCTGCTCTCCCACCTTTGACACCTCACATTGGGATTCACAAGTAGGTATCCTACCCTGGGAACAAGGAGCCCCTGGGAGAAAGGCAAATCCTCAGAGCTGGATGCTGGAACAGGTATACTAACTCTCAAGGCTGGTGTTGGGATTTATTACGTGTGAAGCCGCTTGGCCTAGAGAAGGCCCTCAGGATGATAGGATTTCAGCTTCCTTTCTCTGAATTTATTTCATTTTGTTCTCACAAAGACAGAACTCACAGAATAAGCCCTCATAGCTCAGCTTTGAAGACAAGAAACCCAAAGCTCAGAGTGGCTGGAGGCCTTGACCAACACGGCAGATGTGGCCAGGGGCAACGGCACAACTCTCTGGACCAGCATCTCTGGATTCTGGAACAACACCGGAGTGTGCATAGGGATGTAAGTCGCTTTCATGGAAGAAATCTAGGGAGCCTCTCGGAGGCCTGTACCCAGGACCGGGGCTTAGCATCTGTCAGGTTGGCCATATTTTCCTCAACTGGAACCAAATTGGCCTCAGGAGCCAGTTCCAAGAGTCTCATTTCCTCCTGGAGGGAAGGACCCTAAGGAGGCTGAGTCAGGGCTTGTGGATGCAGGGTTCTGTTGCCGGGTCCTGGCTGGCTGTGGGGCACATAAGCAGGCAAGGCTTACCCTAGGTAGATGTCCAAATCCAGCAAGCCAGATCTTCTTTCGAAAAACTCTCCCTCGTGGACACTCCTAAAATAGGGGTGGTATTTTCTAGAACATCCTCCAGGAACATTGGATGAGCAGAGCTAATGTTCTAGGGAAAGTCTCACCCAAGGACTCTGAGGGTTCAGGTCTGTGTTCTCAGCAGCCACACTAGTTCTCACATACCCACTCACTTCTGCCTGCACCCCATCACCAAAATCAGTGCAGTCAGGTCCAGATTTATTCTGCTGTTCCCAACCCCACCCCCTCTCTCCTGTTACCCTTGCCTGTGGGTAAACGGGCCTCAGCATCTGGAGCTCCCTCAGTTTCTAGAATTGGGAGCGTGCACCAGCTTCTACCACAAACCCTTGGGTGATGGGAAGTGTGAGCCCTTTAAGGATAAATAACATTTACACGTGAGTTACTTAGTGTTGTGCACTTCTTTTATCCTCACACCTACCTTTGAGGTGGGCTCAGTGTTCACCCCATGCCCCAGATTTGGGAGCTAAGATCACACAGCCACTCGTTGGCAGAGCCAGGATTTAAATCATCTTAGCCTGGCTCTGGAGTAGGACTGTTCCTGGTGAAGGATAGAAGAGCAGGTTTGCCACACAAAATGCAGAAAACCCAGTTAAATTTAAATTTCAGATAAGCAACGAGTCTTTTTTTTTTTTTTGCATATATGTTCCAAATATTGCACAAGACACACTTATACCAAAAAGAATCATCCGTTGTTCATCTGAAATTCAAGTTTAACTAGGTGTCCAGGATTTTTATTTGCTGAGCCTGGTAACCCTACTGGAGAGTCTACACTCTGCACAACACAAAG